TATACTTGCTTAAGTATTTATCTGTGAGGTTGATGAGTTTTTTGTTTTTTTTAATGATACTGACAGGTTTTCATTTGAAAGACGAAGACGAAGAATTGCTTGACTTCCACATCTATCGAATAAGCAGAAATAGTTTTTTCTTTGATGCTACTGGAGGGGATTTTGCATGGCATGATGTTATAACAGGGTCAGTATGAAAACCGCAAAATCAAAAATTACTTTTTTTTTCAACAATGAATAACAGATTTTTACCACTAAGCTTTTGTGGTTATATAAAACAGTTCCCATTCATTTTTAGACCTCTCAATCAAAATTATTAAAATGTATGCATCGTGACAGGATTTTATTCGAAATAAAAAAAGATAAGTTTAAGCAATAATGACAGATCTGAAATATTGGGATATTTTAGTGCTTTGAATAAACGTTTTGTTGGTTCAAGAACTGTTGTTTCACTTTGGGATTACTATAATCTGAGTGTATTATTTACATACATATTTTAAGATCCTGAGTATAATCTGTTTTGTGGTGTTATTCATTTTAACTAAAATGATCAAGAAATCTATATACAGCATAAGCTTATGATGGATAAACAATGTACGTGATTTACTAATTACAATGTGGACCACTCAAAAAGGTAAATACTGTTCTAGAGCCGTAACTTAATTTTAAAAGGCTCAGGTTTCTCTTTTGGCAAATGATTATATTGGATAATTAAAAATGAGTACGTTATTGTAATACTTTGGGTCGATTGGCTATTTGAATTGAGCCAGCTTTAATATTTAAATCAACATTTTGGCATTTTTATACCTGTTAAAAACCAGTTACCCAAAACGTTGGTCCTGATTCAATCCATTAAAATAAAACAAATAATAGACATGCTGAAACTCTGTGTATTACAGAAATGCAGAGGATGAATTTGTTGGCTGTGAGGTACCAAAAGGACCTGGGCTCTGGAGGATTAATGCTGTAGGAGTTAGTAAAGAATCTGGGTTGGCTATTCTTAATGAGTTTGTTTATGTAAGTATTGAATTCTGGTAGAGGCTTTTAACATGTGTGTTTAAATGTTACCAGTATTAATAGATTCAACGTAACCATTATTTGTAGTAATGTATATAAAACTCCAGTAAAGTAAATACAATATAGTTGAGCTTAGAATCCAGTTTTAAAATGCCAGTTGTTGCCTCTGATGTTTTATCATGTATAATTAAGTACTTCTTGTATTTATATATATATATATATATACAGTATCGTGTGTTTATTAAAGTTATGATTTATACCTGGTTTATGTAGTATGATGCCACTAAGCCTTTCTTCATCACAGTGGAGGCACCAACTACAGCTGTTATTGGTGAACAGATTGGAATGAGAGTTGTAGTGTTCAATTATGCTGAGTTTGAGATTAAGGTATGTTGTAGTTCTTAAGTAGCTAAATATTTCCTTTTAACACACTTTCTACAAGAAATCATGTTTTAAAACCAAATTTTGGTCTTTAAAATATACTTTATTGTGGATTTCTAATAAATAATAACTTATATTTACCTCAAAATTAACAGTTAACAGAATATGTAAAACAAATCTACAACTGCTCTTATAAAGAAAACAAACATTAACTCAACTCATTCAACAGGTTTTGTTTTTAACTATATAAATTATAGATCAGTACTGTTAGTTATTGTTCCACCTGTTGAACTTTAATGTTTGTAATATCTTTTAAATGATGCTTTTGACAAGTGCATGTGTAGTCCAAAAATTACAAGCTTTATTTGAACAGAAAATAATTCATGAGCAATTTCCTTATACTTTTGTAGCTCATCCTGTAGTCCAGGAATAATGTGGTTGCGAACACATAAAAACACTTCATGTATATATTTATATAATTTTTAAACTTTTTAGGCTGAAGTCATCTTAGAAGAGTCTGACGATTATCGATTTGTTCAAGTGGAACCTCTTGGTGTTGTTTCCTCATATGATCCTCGAATAACTGGAGGGCAACACCAACATTTGCTATATGTGAGGAAAATATCAAACTTGTCCAATTTTGAAATATTGTATGTTGTATAATTTATGAAAAATATTGAATACTCTAATTATGTGTAGATTAGAATTTCTGATTTTCCCCCATTCAAATATAAAATGGTTAATAGCTTGGACACTAATTTAATTGAAAATACAAATTTTTAAAATGACCATTAAAAGAGTACAGTACTTGAAATTTCATTCTTTTTGATAAGAAAGAATTTTTTTAGTCAGCAATAAGTTGCAGTACAGTATAGTCCAACCTCCATGCACGTGATGATGATGATATTGCTATGTCTAGCAGTGAAATATAAAGCTAAACATGTTTTTATCCAATTTATTTCGTATTATTGAAATTCACACCTTGTAAAGAACCTTCAAAGCCAGTGTTCCCAATCTGAGGTCCCAAGACCTTATTCAAATACAGGTATTTTAACTTATGCAATTTATTCCCAATTTATCAACCATGGAGATCAGTGTTTTAACCTGTGTTAGCCCATAGTATGTTTGTCCTCATAAAGCTAAATATTAAGTTCACAGGTAGTGCTGTAGTATTTTGAGTTGTTAACGAAAAATATCTTACTAATAAGCATTAGTGGGTTATACATTTAGCTCAGTTGGTGGAACATTTGCCTGAAGAGTAACAGGTTCTGGGTTCAGATCCTATTCAAGCAAATATATAGATCTAAAAACAGTTCCAAATTGACAGCCAATGTGGGGACATGAAATGATGCAGAAATTTGGCCCAAGGATGAGCCTTGTTTGTGAGAGGAGAAATGTAGTAGCTTGAATTGTTAAAAAAAAAGTACTTTACTAGCAAGCTCTAATGGATTAATCCTTTAGCTCAGCTGGTAAAGTATGCACTCACTGGTAAAGTAAAGTATGTTACAGATCTTGGGTTTAAATCTGATGCGGGAATATATATATATATGTATATATATACACAACGTGGTCACAAGTAAATAGACACCACCTTTCAGAAAAAATGAAATTTT